AAATTAACTAACTTTGAAACTAAGCTCTGATTAACTTTAGTTTTTCTTCTGTGATAAAACATGATATGTTTCTTGTTTAGAGTTTTTTTAATTTCTGAATTCATGCTCAGTTAATTGTCATCTTTGATTGTTTGGCTTGATTTCTCTAATCAATTACAACTGCATAGTAAGACGTGTAACTCTAATGAACAATAAGTTACTTTTAGATATGTACCTAAATGGTGAAGAGGTTATCATTAGCTTTTGTTTTGTTCTGCGTTCTCTTGCTTGAATTTATATAGGACTTCAGTAAAATCTATCATATAGAAGTGATCTTTGGGTTGATATATTATGATATGACAAATTGTTGATCCAAATTGAGATTATATAGTAATTTATTTTTTTGGTATATGTATATAAATTTTGCTCCAGGGGCAATAATAATACAAATGCAATGTAGTTTTCATACTTGGAGCATTTTCTTTATCAAAATTGTGATAGTAAATTCTTTTCTGACAGATCGGTGTTACTAACCGCTTGGAGTAAAAATGTTTCTTCTACTGGTTCTTTGAGTTTCGTAAATTTTAGCACTTTTCCATTCTTTGAGCGCTTTCATGTATACATGTACTCACATAAAAAAAGGTGCATGTGGCATAGTTTTTTGCTTCTTTCAACAAAATCATATTTTTCAAGATTGTTGTCTCGATAATTTCTAGTTACTTTCTTAAAATTATGGTCATGTATTAGCTACTTTTTTCTCTTATCCTTCATTTGGTAATTCTGACATAATTTTTCAGGTAAGGGATGAATTAGAGCATTTGCTCGATGACGACGAAGATATGGCAGAGATGTATTTGACTGAAAAGCTTGCGGAACAGCAGCTTGAAAATGCTTCTGCTGCTTCTTTAAATGAGCAAGATGATATGGATGAAGTTGTTCTGTCTGAAATGGATGACAGGCACGTGAAAGCTTCTCTGTTTCGACTAAATCATATTAGATATTTCTAGTTAATATTAAGCCACCTCATCTAAAAGTTAAACTTTCAGATTATTAGGTGGTTTAACATGGTATCAGTGTAGGCAAAAGACTCCGGTTCAAGTCTCATTGCCACCTTTTTATAAACTTGTGCACGTGTCAGGCCTGTGGTAAAAAGTGAATCTGGTCTGCCCATGAGGGGGAAATATTGAAGACAGTCTAGATAAGCAAGTTTGACCACAATCACCTTCAACATGGTATCAGGGTTGGCAAAAGACTTTGGTTCAAGTCTCATTACCACCCTTTTATAAACTTGTGCACGAGTCAGGCCCGTGGTAAAAGGTGAATCTGGTCTGTACATAAGGGGTGTATTGAAGACAATCTAAATAAGCAAGTTTGACCCTATCACCTTCAAAAGGGGAAAAAAAAAGTTTTGACTCCTCTCTTACAAATTTAGTTTCTAGATGAGGTGATTCAACAGTTATTACAATAATTCTTCACTACTAAATTTCACGTTACTACTCCATTCTTGTAACATTGCAGGGTTCCTGCTGAAATATCAATGGAAGGTAATGGGAGTTCGTTTATATCTGATGGTGAACTTCGGCAGATTGACAACCGCCAGGAACAGTTTTTTGGAGGTCCTGTTGCTACTAGCAGGAACAGTCATGGGACCCATACTAGTACACACAGTGCTATAAGCAAGCACCTTGACGTGGAAGAGCTCGAAATGCTCTTGGAAGCATATTTTGTGCAGATTGATGGTACACTGAATAAATTATCCACTGTACGTAACTAATCTTTATGGTTAAAGAACTTTAAATTGATTTGATTTCTTTATGAGCTTCAAAGTGTAAATTTAATACACAATTTTCTTTTCATAAAGGGGTTCTTTGGTGTATTACTTTATTTCACTTTTTGCTTAATTTGGTTCCGAGTACTATCTTGAATGATGTATTGACATTGTAGTCATTAATAGTCATTTGATTGAAGAAGTCTTAGATTTGCAAGATTGCTACGATACTGTGTTTACAAATGGCATATTACGTGAACATCCTTTGCACTTACTGCTCTGAATAATTTTGCAAAGTTTTTGCTGCATCGTCTTTATCTTTTGAACCTCCTGTTACTGCTGTTGTGTGACGAACCTTGTATATTGTTCTCTATAAACATTGATATTTGCTCCTTAATGATACAGATAGAAGAAAGTTGGAAGGAACAGAAAAAGTCTTATTGCACCTTTGGAAATATCTTTCTTTTTGATACAAAATTTGGTCATCACAAACCTTAAATGCATTAAGATATTTTGTTCCTACTTCGTCTTTTTGATCTTATGTTGTGCTGTAATCCAGATGCTTCTATAGGAGAAATTTGGTCCCATCAAAGTTAGCGCCATATGGATTATTTTGACTTCATGAAATTAATAGCTGCACTAAAAACATTTATGGCGTGTTTGACAAGAAAGATTGGATAGCAGTACAGTGGACAGTTTGAAAGAATTAAAAGATGCTAAAATCTTGTTCGTTGTAGTTTCTACTTGCAAGTATTGCATGCCAAACATTCATTTATCTTCATTACTTCGGCAAGTTCCATTATACATATACTGACATTTTATCCCTTGGATGTTATTGGAAGCTGAGGGAGTACGTAGATGACACGGAAGATTATATCAACATTATGTTGGATGACAAGCAAAACCATCTCTTACAAATGGGGGTTATGTTAACAACGGCAACCCTTGTGGTGAGTGCCTTTGTGGTCGTGGCTGGGATTTTTGGTATGAACATCAAAATTGAGTTGTTTAATTCTGACATAGCCGGGATGCCAGAATTCCTTTGGACAGTCGGGGGAGGTACAGCCGGCTCAATTTTCCTTTATGTGATTGCAATTGCCTGGTGCAAACACAGACGGCTACTGGAGTGAGACGCGAACCTGTGTTTCAGCCTTAGCTTCTTATTGTACTCTGCATGGAAACCAGAAGATGTATGAATAATGTTTGACAGCTATTTATTTTGCGTCTGTATACATGGTTGAAGTTCTTTTTGTGGTTTATACAAGTGACCTCATAAACTCCATCTCCGTCTCCGTCCTCTCTCTCTTTATAATCGGATTTTTTTTTTCTATTCTTTTGTGACAAAGGATCTTGTGGTTATTTGCTTTCAGGATCTCCCCGTCACATTTCAAGAATGGTGTAATTAGTCTTGCAACCTTTGCTTGTGGGCTTATAATTATCTGTTGTCTGAATATCCACATTTCTTGACATTATTTGTGAATATCTTGGTGCTTAGAAAATTTCATCAACGTAATTAAGAATGTGGTATAATGCCGATGGTAATATTACTGCAAAATGTTGATTCCGGGGTGCATAAAGCTGTTTTTTTTTTTAATTTGTCTGGCGATAATTAAATGAAATATTAGAAAAAAGACGATTTTCTCAAGAATTACAAAATATATCTATTTGTTGGACTTAGAAAACATGTATCATTGAATTACCAATAATGCTGCATGTACAGAAATTTATCACGGAAGTCTTACATGATTTCAAAAATTTTGATATGGCACTACAAGATTCATTATTTCCTGACCGTCGTCAACCGCCCCCTTTTACCCACCTAATCACAACCCAACACAGCCACCCCTTTCTTTTTTCCTTATTTATTGTCTCAAATTTCGAAATTATTATGTGAATGTTAAACAGAGTCGAAATATTGCATCCTTAACACCATTTCGAAGTACTAACGACCTAGTTTATCGCATTTTTAACCGCGTGCAAAACGGTGAACTGTAACAAAAGTTACCACTTGTCGAAATAAACCGTTCCAAAAATATATAAATGTTTTTTCTTATTTTTATCTCAATTTTCAGGATTATCATGGGATGTCAAACGAAATCGAAATCTCGTATTCTTAACATCATTTCGAAATACTCACGAGCTAATTTATTGCAACCCAAACCGCGTGCCAAATGGCCAACCATAGCAAAAATTACCACTCGTCAAAATATGAATACAAAAATGCAATATTTGCTACGGTTGAAAATGCCTAGTTTGACGAGTCGTAACTTTTGCTACGATTGAAAATGCCTAGTTTGACGAGTCGTATCGTATAGATTGTACAAAATGTCAAGGTACACAAGTAGTAGATTATTGAAGACATTGCATATCAAACATTCATTTATTTTCATTACTTCTGCAACTTTCATAATTATACCAAGTTAGAACTGCTGTGACCCCTTCGCACACGTCAATGAAGTCATACAAAAAATAATTAAGGTAAATTAACTTCAGAATACGCCAAATACCCGCATTTTTGCAAGGCTAATCAATTCCTAGACCCCATCATCCTGCATTCTTGCTACCAAAAACTTACTATTCATTTGACGAGCTATGTTCAATCCTTTTCCAAAGGTTTAAATGAAAACTATAACCTCTGTTTATAAACCTGGAAACCACAGGACATTGTCCCAGGTAACAAATACTTGTATTTATGCATTTTAACACCATAGAAAATAAGAAATTAAGGTCCGGTTCAGTAAGACATGGCCTACATAGCACTCCACAATATTTAATCACAAAAAAATAAAAAAGCTAAAATCTTGTTTCTTGCACATTCCAATCCTGTTCAGTAAGATCATACATAGAGTACCTAAATGTTTAGGCAATCCCCACATTCGGAAACCAGATTGAAGGCATTTCACAATCTAAGAATTCAAACCTTAAATCAAAAATTCCAGTCACCTATATAAGAGCCTGTCTCTTCTATGAACCAACGAGCCTTGTTCAGTTTACAAAGGAAAACCACATTTACTTAAGCTCCCGACTAGGGAATCATAAAACTCCAAACTTTATCAACATTCAAAATGTGAAGAGCAGTAAGATTATCGTAAAAGACCATAATGCATTAAAATAGACACAAATTCTCAAAAACGAATAATCCAAAAGTCTCAAAACATAACGAAAAACTTTGAGTATAACTAAAATAACCCATTACTAAATATCATCCAACAAGTCACATTAACTCCAATTCAAACCGTTTCGTTCATATATTTCAGTATCGCCTACCACCGCCGCGGCCGTATGTCATTGCCGGCGCCACATTAATCGGGCCCTGGTCCTCCCTAAGGACAACCCCAGGAAGATCCTTCATTCCAAGAGCCTCCAACAAATCAACAGTCTCCTGATCAACCTCGATACGATCTGTCTTGATGGCAGATTCGTCTGGCACGAAGTCCATGCGGCGCTCACGCTCCTCCTCCTGCAGCTTCAGGGAGATCCCACGAACAGGTCCCTTCTGGATGCGCTTCATCAGATGGGTCGAGAACCCGGCAATCTTGTTACGAAGGCGCTTTGAAGGGATGATTGCCACCTCCTCCAAGACCTTCTTGTTGGTGTGGAAATCGAGTGTCATCTTCGAGTAGTATCGTTCGATGACCTGACGGGAGGACTTCTTCACTGTCTTCGTGCGCACTCGACCCATTTTCTTGCTTGGATGGTGGTGTCTGTGGGAGTGGCTAGGAGGCAGAGGAGATTTTAAGGAGCGGAAAAGAACTAGGGTTTGCGGAAGGAGCTATTAGGGGTTTGTTTGTAAGTATATATAGTAATTTGAAATTACATTCAGCGCCCCCTAGAGTTCATAAATATCAAAATAGACCTCCTAGTTTTTGTATAATACCTGTGGCCAGGATGAATGTGAACGGTTGATTTCGCTCACGAATACTCATCAACGTCTCGATTTTGAAAAAATATATTTGACGAATAATGCTACTTTACCAAAAATATATTGACAAATCTCTTGACATAATAGGTGTTAACGAGATATGATTGGATGAAAAAATTAACTATGTTTTAAATATTCTAATAATAAAATATCATATGACATTATGACAACTTATCTGACACTTATAGCATGATTCTTGAAACATATCAAACAGTTTACTCAATTAAAAAATTAAACTACATTTTAGAATAACAAATTTGTTTTGAGACGAATGTATGTATGTAACTAAAAGTTCGAAAGTACTTTTTTTTTTTTTAAAACATTTGAAATTCATAGAGAGGGCAACGAGTTGGGCCAAACTGGCTTGCAAGCTCAAGCTAGAGGCTCCGATTGACTCACAAACTTTGTCATTTTTGGGTTAATTTGAACGATGGTCACTGAATTTAAAATAATTTCAAAACTATCATTAAAGTTATTTCATTATCATAGTGGTCGCTAAGGTTTGAAGTACTTAAATATTTGGTCATTCTGTTAACAACGTCAAGGTAAAAGATTGAACGTGACAATGTTAAAATCCATTGTATAAAAACAGGGTGTTAATGAAATTTCCACCTATATAAAACTGCCCCCTCCAAAACAATGAAACAAACCTAAATAACATTTTCTTCTTTCATCCGAGCCTCAAACTTTAACCCCCAAATCAAATCCAACCCATATCCCCTTCCAATGGAAGGAATTTTCAAGTTGGTGTTATACATAATATTCAGTTTGATGGGTAAAAATGACAAGCTTTCGTGAACAAAAATAGAATATATAAATATCCAGCTAGTTAGCAGGTCAAATATTGAGTTTGACAAGGAAATCTAAATCTTGTTGGGCAAACCTCAATTTTTCTACGTGAAAGTCGAGTATGGTGGACAAATATCA